CTCAGTTTCTCATCACACCTGAAGGAACTGCTTGATTCTTCGCAGATTGTGCTGATAGAGAACATTGGACTCTTGTAGGAAGCGGCTATACTGCTGGTCAATCTCACCCAAGAGATTATGAAACACCAAAGTAGCATGTGATTCTTTGCTGGCCGCGTATGCCCTAGGAAAAGGAAGAATGATGAAGAGTGACTCTGAAATCTACATAGACACACATGGAAATCATCATCGAGGAGGAGGAAAAAACCAAGGCAAACCTGACGCTAGAACCCATTCGTCTCTTTAGATTCTTCTTGCTCAGCAACAATAAATGCCACCAATTTAATAATCATTAACAATTATTCTAGATATTATTAGCCACCCTGATCGTCTACATTTGTGACATATTTGAGCGAAGTAGACAGATATGCTGTTTTGCTTTAAATTCTCAGTCAACTCTGTGGTAAAATTATTAGTACAAATAAGCAACTCTAGGCTGGGATGGCCTGTCTCCACCATCTCTGAATCACTTCCGTGGTCCTACACCAAACTGGGGTATATATTCCAGAAAAACTGGGTCTTATTAACATAGGCCTGAATTAAACCAAAATTAGTAGGTGGAACTGAATAAATTAAAGTGAAGGAAATAGTTGTTGGACTTCTGTGTCATTACCTCCTCTATGAATGGTGTCTGTTTCCCTTACCCTGAGTCTCTTTCCTTTAATTAAAGGGGAATCACAAATATGGACCCAAACTTCTATCCATGACAGAATTCTCACTCAGATAAAAGATATTTCTACCACATCACTGGAGTATCAGAATACACAGAGGATCTCCCCAAGTAGATGAGATCCAAACCAACCTCCAAAACATCTACCACCAAGAAGGCTGTTTCAATGTGCCAAAAGACAGTCGGTTGTCCATATGTCCTTCTAATACAGAAAATGCTTCATAAGACTAAGGCTACTTCTTTATCTCCTGATCTCTTTTTCCCCATCACCTGAACCCATAAGTTTTTTAATGAAATAGTTAGCAACGCACAAAGCTAGAATAGATCGTGTCTCCTGACTCAAACCGAAACCTAACAATTTGGGGAGTTTCTCAAGGACTTACCAATCTTGACTCTCAATCCAAGGGGCCAGAAACTGCCGTAGCTCCATCGGGAAGCTGTCGCTGTACAGCTGATGAAGCTGCTCCAGGTACCGCGTGTCGAGCTGCTGCAGCTGATTCCATTGGGCCATCCTGCTGGAATCAGGGGTCCCAACTGTAAAGTAAAGTGTTTATATGGTCACCACAAGCCCCAGCAGGGGTAAAAAATGTAGAAATAACCCATCTACCCACTCAGGTATCAGGTCTGTGATTAGGGATAAAGATGCTTTGGGAAGGATCCTACATGTTTCT